TGGAAACTTCTGGCATTGTTCTTTTCACGACTGGATGACGTCAACTCCGTGCTCTTTTTGCTTGCTCAGAGTCTGAGCTAAATTAATCTCTGAGGGGTACGTGAAGGCAAGAAGGACATGGAGTCATACATATAGAAAGGAAAGTATACAACGAACGGGTAAATAAGTTTCTATCATTTCTATATTTCCGATTTTTTAAAAGATTCATTTCAAGGTTTTGAATAAGGACTGCTGATTTATAGGTAATAACAGCACCAAAGCATAACGTACCAGGTAAACTCTTTGCGGCCTGCTGCTACACCGCAGTTTTCAATCTTCTTGACTTTGCAGCAGGTAAGGCACATGATACTTATGAAATCCTTTAGTTGAGATCGTTACTTTTATCTATTTTTTTTTTCAAGGAGTCGTTAAAGTAACAGAAACGACCGCAGAAGATGACCAAAAGCTGCGTGAGGAGTACCCGGAAACAGATCCGTGGTATCGAACGGCCAAAGAAGCTTGCAAGGTTTGTAGTACTGATTATTATTTGATGGATTTGGTATTTTTGATATTCATAGAATGCACACGTTGAACTTTCGTTTTTGAGGGAAGCCCAATTCTCTGGCGTTGATCGGTAGTGCCGTGTAGGAGCACCCGCGTAGTTTCCTTCAACTTGGGATCGTACCAACGCTGGAATTCCTATGTGGCCTATACAATGGCGCGCAGAGACCGGCCGATGTACACATCGGAGCTTTCATTCTACGAAACGGCATTGGGACCTATTAGCTGACTCCGGGGATATAGAACATAGAGAGTTAACGCTGAGATTAATCCGAGAATCGATGCACACCATATGCTTAGACCAAATGCGACTTACCACTAGCCCACCACCATTCTAAATTTTTACGGTGAAAAGATTGGAAATATGAGTAATTATAGTATGTATAAAGGAGTGCTAGGTGATCGTTGGCTCTCGAACTCCTTATTGTATAGAACAGGATAGTGGAAAGTATACATGCCATCTAAAGGAAAGATAGCTGCCAAGCTGGAGTATCACCCATATCAACCTTTCATCTACGACATGAGTGTGTAAAACTTATCTGAATCAAGGGTGCCTGGCCATCATTTACTATGATTCAGGCCACTTCTACTCATTAGAGTACTGAGTGATAGCGCAAGGGTTGGGTTTTTGAGGGTGTAGGTGCCGGCCGTTGCGTTTTGATTTGCAGCATTCATAAAAGGCACGGTTCACGACGAAAATGGTCACTGACTTCTCCCCTAGGAATACTCAGTGGATTTCAAAGGTGATAGAAAGAACCTTTTCACGCCCCAGAAGTCGAAGGTTAGGGCACAGTGGAAGCCATGTTCCCGCCTCGTGCGATCTTTCCGCCCCTCAATCGATGTCACGTCAGACGAGTGTCGAGGCGATACATTGCACTTATCCGCTGTAGGACCCACACACAATCAGCTGATCGCGGAGTGATTAGGCAACGTTTTTCTGACACTTTTTTCCTCTCTTATTCTTTTTGCTGCCGCGATCCCTTATCTAATTTTCTACCCCAAGAGGCTGAAAGAGGCGGGCTACTTTTGCTGTTACTAGGGTTTTTGTTTACTTATGCTTATAAGTGGATGAATACTTGCTTCATGTAGTCAGTTATATGCACCAGGACCCACACGTACGCAATGACCCACATTGTATAGCTCGTCCAAACCCCACCCCCACTCCTCCTCATTCTTCTGGTTTCATTCGCTTCCAGCTCCCTTTTTAACGATTTTTCAAAACCTTTTTTCACATTGGAAACACCGATTTACGCTGTTCCTTCACCTTCATCGCACTATTTTCCCCCATATCTTCCATTTTCCGTCATAATATGGATTACCCAAAATTATCGTGAAATGTGCCTTCAAAACCAAGCCAATCAAGTTGAGTTACTCGGTCACCAGACGTTGTTCACTGGACGGAGTGGAATTAAGCGTTGGCGATTTTCCACAAGCTCTCGATTGATTGATTGATAAATTGATTATACTTTCAATTTCCTCAGAAATCCTTGCAGAAGTCAAATTAGAGAAGTGTAACGAAGGAGTTGACCGGCTTATGTTTGTTTCTTTTTCTTTATTTTTACCATTTTCAGGACAGCATAGGTTATCCAGTTAGCGTGCAAGTGGCAGCTCCACCATACAAGGAAGAAACTGCTTTGCGGATTCTCCGAGATATCGAAATAGGCGTCAGAGGAAAGTAGAAGTAGTCACAGAGGAAGCATCTCATGATCCTGCCCTGTTGTTGTTGACCAATTTTGTATTGTGTCATTTGATTCTTCCGAAGTTTGTTAGTGTAGTCGGGACTATCCGAGCTGTAGACATCAAGAGACGTCGGATCGCTACCCCTGCTCTATGAGCTCATTATGGATGTAGGTCATTTTTCACTAGAGACAAGGTTCCTCCCAATATATGTTAGCTATGTGATTCTCATCGCGGGATAGGTGCAGTTGTTTGAAATTGTATTTTTGCATTTTACGCGGTTTTTTATAGGTCTATTTTTTAAAAAATGTTGCTCATCGTTTTTTCTTCTCTTTATATTTCCTTTCGGTACCAACCCTACATGAATTTTACCTGTGAATGCCTTTTGTGCCAAAGTGTTTTATTTTTTTGTCTACTTTTTTCATTTTCATGTTGCCAAGCTTTACCGTTGCACCCCGCACGAATTTATCGCGCGCGGCGGACGGTGCGATGTCGTGACTGATGTTGTTAGTAGTTATCTTTACTTAGTTCACTTTGTTGAGCAGATGTATCTTTTGAGGCCTACTTCTGATTTAGGCTTTGTCTCATCGATTTGGCAGTATAATTCTAATTGAATTCTTTGACTTTTCAGTGTAATAAGCACGAAGCAATTAAATGACTTTGCAAATTCCTTACGCTGTGTTAATTTGTCAAGCATGGATCCACCTCCATCAAGTTTTTTTTATAGTTTTATCAATATTTTGTTTTCTTTTTTGGTTTTGTGGTCAAGAAAAGCTCGAACAGAAAACAACGTCGAGAAATCAGGCTATTTTTTAGAGGTATTTGCTGAGTTGAGTACGAAGAACTTGAGAACAACCTACCCTTTTAATGCTTATGAACTAGTTAGGGGTCTTCCAGCGGCGTCAACCTATGCTGATCCTCTGTGGGGGTGGG